TATTAGAAATGTAACAACATGTATTATATGTATATACTTTTATGCAAACCTACTCTTGCTGCCAACCCTTGGGAAGGTAAAGCAGCAAGAGAGGAACAATATTAAAACGGGAAAAAAAATTAAAGCAAATATATATATATATATATATATATATATATATATATATATATATATATATATATATATATATATATATATATATATATAATTTGATATAAATTATCAAAATGTAGTCAATAAATGATATTTATATATTTAGAAGAAGCTTAGCATATGTTTTACACAGAGTTTCTTCCAGGCATCTCTTCGGGGGTGGGGGGGAGGGGCAAACCCCCCCGAAATTTTTTTACCGCCCCCCCCCCCCCGAACGAAATGAAATTTATATAATTTATATAGAAAATATATACTTTTAACAGTGTCCGCCCCCCCCCCCCCCCGAAGAAAGTCTACCGCCCCCCCCCCTAAATTTCAAGTGCCCCCCCCCCCGGAGAAAAAAGTCTGGAAGAAACACTGGTTTTACATAATGCAATATATTAGTACTGTTTGTCAATGCGTAACCTCTCGTATATTCTTATACGCGTGACTTTGTTTTCTAAACCTGAGTTATTTAAGTGTATGTAATGCCTGCGCTTGGATCAGATTCATCAAGGCACGTGTACTCACCGTAATACTTTCGGTAGAGCAAACTTTGGCGACCTGACAGATGTTAGTTTATATGATTTTAGTTTATATATATATATATAAGGGTATATGAAGGCATATATGTGTGCACAAAGTTTTACAACACGTTTAAATTCTTATTTTTACACTTTTCTACAACAAATATGCCACGTATTACTCCTTAACAACGCCATTACATCGCCACATACTCTTTCAATATGCTCTGTAGGGTATCTGCTTATCTCTAGGATGAGAATCCAATTCTATCTTCAAATACATGAGGGAATCAATGAGTTATTTCAGTTCTTAAACTGTCAGCGGCAGATCGATGCAGCGATCCTAAAATTGAACTTTTTTGAATTTTAAAGCTTACATACTGAAACTTTCGGGTTGAGAAGCTCGAATGTCCTTTAAAAACAAGATATCATACGGGTGGAGATTTGTTACAAAAAACGGTAAAACGGATTATAGCTAGGAATACCATCAGATTCATAATCCTTTGGTTTTAAAGAAATTACTGTCAGGATAATCCTTTAAAAGTTATTTGCGAAACTCGATAAAATAGGTGCAAAGGCGTTACGGACTATTTCTTCACTCGTTTAGATTTGTAAAACTGTCATCCTATTTATATCTTTTACTTTCTATATAATTTATAGTCTTGTCTAGATTGCTCCAACTAAGACATTTATATTTAATTTTGTAATCATTTTTCGCACCCTTCATGTTTTTAATAACTTCGCCTTTGACTTCGCCTATTATTTTTATATACATATTTTTAAAAAAAAACGTTTTCTGAATCACAGAAAGACTACACATATTTGTACAACAATACTTTAAAACCCGGGCCACACAGACATTAGGATACACCCTCTCGGCTGTTCCTGAAGAGATTCGACCAACATGTTGCTGTTCATCGCTCTGTTGCTTCACGTCTTCTCCGGCTTTGGTAAGTTCTACATGTCGTAATGTGATAGGGCCTTCTCCGGCCAGTCGCGTAGCGAGGGGGGGCGGGGGGGGGGGGGAACATATGTCCCCGGTCGTCGTCCTTAGGGGACGCCAAAATGGGTTGGAAAAATAAATTGAAAGGTTGAGGGAGGTGCAAATCGAAAGTGAGGGGGGGGGGGTGCAAATGGAAATCTCGAGGAGGGGGGGTGCAAATCGAAAACTTTGTCCCCGGGCGCCGGGAAGGGTCGCTACGCCTCTGTCTCCGGATATGGTAAGTTCCACATGTCGTAATGCTTTAGTCATTCTTCTGGCTTTGGTAAGTTCCCGAACGGGACAAATGTCACAAAGCCACATGCAAGTGTCCGTTCGGGAAACTACCTTAGGACACCCGGCGTTCTTGCAAGTATCGGGAAAACGCCCTGTTCCTCTGGTATCACTTAGGTTTACAACAGAATTTCACTTTCTCCCCCATAGGCAAAACAAGCATCACAGTATACGGAGGTTTTTCTGTTCTGAGACAACTTAAGGTCTTGCGTGCATGTTTCATTATTGGAGGGGTTGGATGGGGGGATCACTCTCGTACACAGTCGCTCAAGCAATGGTCACCAAAAATAGACTTGGAAAAAAATGAAGAATCGGCTAATGCATGTTGCCAGCAGCCAGAAACAGACATTTGTTTCCTCCCCTTGATTGTAGTGCACCATCTGGAAATGGGGAAGGTGGGGGGGGGGGGGGGGGGCTCGAGTAGGCGACATCCTACAGTAAAGAGTTACTTTACTCGTGACTTTCCGTTAGAAAGCTCGAGTTTTACCCCTAGAATAAACCGTCGACAGACATTGACGGTATTTCTCTGAACATACTTGTTCGATATTTTAATCAATTTTAATTTCTTTAAAGTCTATAAATTGGAAATGATGGTATAATTCTAAATTTTGCAAACGAATACGACTGAGTACTTTTAGTCATGTGACATTTTAACAGTGTTTTCTATAATATCTATATTCTTACACAGCTGCTATTAGTGATTCCGGAGAGCCATCTCTGTGTTCAATGTTGGAATATATGGGGCCTCACAATGAAAGCAAGTATTTTCTCTCCAAGTTTTACTACATAAACGCACAACAAGCTCTAAATATATGTTCAATATGCGGCATGTACCTAGTAGAGGTCAATGACGAAAGTGATTTCAAGTTTGTGCAAGACATTGCCAGGAATTCCAAAACTGAATATCTTCTGCTTTCTGGATCTGACGCGATTACGGAAAACAATTGGGTCTTCCCAAACAATGAATCGGTCAAGTATAAAGCTTGGTCAAGCGAAAATCCAGACAACCATCTAGGTGTTGAAGATTATCTATCCATTGCTAAGGTGTTCGGCTATAGAATGAATGACATGCCAGATCCACCAAATAATAATTACAAGTTCCTTTGTGAAAGAGGTATTAACTCTGATGATCCGCTTGACCAGGTTAAATAAAATTGTAACTTGGGGTCAATCAACAGAGTTTTAAATTAAACATTGATTTCAAAGCTTTCAGATTGTTTTTTTTTGTATATTATTATTAGTCCCGTTGAACTTTTTATTTATTTTAAGCCTTTTTAGTAGCTTTAAACTTCTTTATATCATTGGAGAAAACTTGCGAAATGCACAAATCTTGTAAGAAAGTTTCCTTTACTGAGCCAACGTATTTCAGTATGCAGAATAAGATCATGTTCTTTATCTTCAGTACCTTCTAACAGGGCCTTGAAAAGTCGGGTTGGTATTGCAAAGGAGCTGCTCGAATAGAATTGATTATTTTTGTAACTATTTTCATGACGTGTTCAAATGGCAAAATTTTACAACACAGAGCTTCCTGGTGAATAACACAATGGTAGGACATGAAGTTTGAAATTGAATCATCCTTCATGCAGAGGGCTATAAATCCTTTGTTTTTACCCATCATTACTGGCGCCCCATCAGTGGTTATTGCAGACAGCTTGTGCAAAGGCATATTTATTGACTTGGCGTATGTTTTAATGTATTATAAATATCCTCACCCATTGTCTGTCTTTTCATAGGTAATATTTGTAACATATCCTCTTTTACTGTGAAGTTATTAAACACCATTCTCACCATAACTGCTAACTGTGCGGTGTCTAATATATCTGTTGACTCATCAAATTGTAGCGAGAACTAATCACATATTTCAAAGTCAGTTTTTAACTGAGTTTGTATGTCTGTTGAATTTGCATGTATTTTTCTTGTGACTGTGTTATTTGACAACTGTAAGTCTTGTATTGCTGAGACAATCTCACGTTTGTCAGAAAATCCATCAATCAAACAATCGGCACCAGTCAAAAATAGTTCCTTAAACAACTCACCATCAATGAAAGGTTTCTTCTTTTTTGCGAGCATGTGAGATATTTTGAAAGAAGCAATAGTGGCCTTTTTAGAATTTTCCACATGTCTAGTAAAAACAGTCTGTTGTGCTGTTAGACTTAATTTTAGATTACAATTGTTTTTCTTTCTTACTTCAGATTTAAGAGGATAATTCACATTAAAAGTGCCATGATTTGTCTGAAAGTGTCGTTCACCGTTACTTTTTTTTCAGCACTGCAATGCTACTACCACACAACAAACAAACGCATTTATTTTTCAAATTAACGAAACAATATGATTCCTCCCAGTCAGTGTTAAAAGTTCCTATGTAACTGTCGCGACCCGAACAGGGCAGCAATCACAATGACAACGACGCGGTTCCAGGCGGGGAATGCTTTTTGCACATCACTCCATGTACACGCGGAAAACCCGAAGTGAGCCGATGATCGCCGAAGCAATCAGAGTCATGTGCCTTGTGATTTGGCGCCTTCGGCGTTTATCGGATCAGTTCGTTCCATTCGTTCACTTCGGAAACTGTAGCTAGGACACTGTGTCATGAATTTTTCAGGACGTGCCAGTGTACACCGTGCAGGAGGATACAGGAAAAGGGCAATGGCGGACATTGCATAGAACCTCCCTTGTGCAAATTGGAATGCCAGTGAAGGGGGAGAAGACAAGAAAAGGCAATGTCGGAAATTGCACTGAAACTTCATTGTGCCAGCTGGAATTCTGGCAAAATATTGATAGGAACAACGGAGGAAAGATAGGTCAAATGAACCAGACGGAGAAGGCGACTGGACGTCAAGGTGGTCCCAACCTGACTACTCCTTTCGTGCCAGAAGTGGTCGCCTGGCAAGTGCAGCAACAGGTGATTTTCAGGCCAGCCCTATACCTGGACCAGGTGATTGTCAGGCCAGTCCCACACCTGGACCCTGTGATTGTCAGGCCAGCCCCACATCTGGACGAGATGGATGCGGAGGACGACGCATCAGACGCGGATGACTCATTCATGAACCCAGAACCACCAGAGCAGCTGCGGAGGTCAACCCGTCTGCTACGACCAGTGGAGCGACTCAACCTGGCGCATCAAGTGGTGACCAGTGCCAACACAAGAGCTTCTACCATTTTATATGGAGAAATATTTGAGTGTTCAGAACTATAATGTATGTACTACTGTACTGTAATTGTTAAAGTACTACTATTTATGATTATTGTGAGTTGTAAATGTAAATGTTTAAGTATACCCATTTTACATTTATTTGTGAGGAGGGCTATAGGCCTATAACATATACCATGGGTTACCAGTCAGAAGGTATGATTTGTAATTTATTTGGTTGCGGCTCATGTGGGACCGCAAATGTTGATGTATTTTTTGTGCTCTTCTGTGAGCAATGTCTCCGTGTTCCCATGTCATGTGACCTCTGGGACCCTGGGTAGTTGTACCTGTATCCGCGACATTCAAACCCCAGACTGCTGATGGCCAGGACCATTAAGTTGTTTAACTTGGTTATGTAGACCTAATGAAATATTTATGTTTTATTATCAGACTAGTGCCGCATGTTGCGGACTAGTTAGTATATATATTTATAGTACTTGTTGACTGTATTGAATACTGGCCGAAAACATTCTATTGTATGACACCCGTATATTTAAGCTATAGCCCACATGTGGTGGTGTATTCAGAAATGAAACCTATTGTTTGTTTACATTTGTTTTAGGGTTATATACTGTACATTACTGTACAACTAATGTAAATGGATTTGCCGTATACGGATTTGCCGTATATGCAGTAAAGTCAGGATCTATCAACAAAAGCGTCATTGATCGTTTGTGTATTATCTCTTAGGGTAATCCCTTAAAAACACTACACCTAAGTGGGTGACATCACACCACATCCCCGCTGAGCCGGTGTTACACTACGATTTATTTTTTAATTTGTTGCGTAAATTTCAATGAAGCTGAGGATAAATATTAGGTTTTTAAAATGTCCAGGTCCTCTTGGACAGAGCTAGACCAGCCCTGCTTAGATGTTTTATAGATATACATTCAATGAACGTGTGCGACTGTTGTTTGTCTGGTTTGGTATCAAACAAAAACAAACACTTGAAAATTATTTCAAACAAAAGTTTAACACGCTGAGCAAGATAAAAGTTTCAAGTTGATAAAACTTCACAAACATTCCAAAATAAAAGTTTCAACCTTAAAAATCTTCACAAACATTCGAAAATAATAACCTCACTATTAGGGCAAAATATTTTAACAATGGAAAATTTCTCATTAAGGCTCAGAGAAATATTTTAGATTTAGAAAGTAACATTACTTGATTCCTCCCACTTAGAGTACGAAAAGTCTTCTTCACTTCACTTCAGAACTTTATTCATCACACTAGACGACACGTCTTGTCTCCAGTTACATTCTAAGTTACCTTGATACTCACTTGGCACACACACACTAAGAGACTGAACATTCAAGGGACATTACTACGATATATAATATACAACGGATGTAACAATAACTAACAAGACATAACGTAACATAATGCACTTGAGAGCCTTGTCTACAAAATATTTTAAATATAAAAAATTCAAAAGCTTTCACACACATTTTTAAAATATAAATTATTTAAAATAATTTTACACAAAATACCTTAAATAATAAACACTTTGAAGACTGTCAAACATAACAATATAGAGACTCAGCAGTCTGCAAAAATGCTTAAACCAATATAATATTAAACCTTTTTAACCTGGTTAAAACAAATTTCCTAGAAAACTCATTTAGTCTCGGCCGTATTTTTCAACGTTCACCAAATTTTAAAATTGGGAAAAAAATTACTGTAGTATTTTAACATTATTTTCAGCCTTTTTAAGGCTTTGTACACAAGACATTTTAAATTAAACAGGAAAAAAGTTGACTCATGTCATGTAAACCTCATTCAGGACTATTCTCATCAGCTCACCAAAGTTGGCGTTTGGATGAACGGTGTCTAACCACATCCGACTATTATTTTTTATATACTGTAAATAGAGAACAATCGAACCGCGAGCTGTCGGGATGCCAACCTTCTATTCGCACAAACTTCCCCAGGAGTATTCTCAACAATTTCCCAAAGTTTCATTACGGTCGGATGAAAGATGTAGTAATGATTGAAAGACAAACAGAAAAACATAATATATTGCTTTATTATTTATGGTATATATATATATATATATATATATATATATATATATATATATATATATATATATATATATATATATATATATTCAAATATATTTTTAAAATAAAATTAAAATATTAAGCTGATGGACAAAATTGACAGCCCCACATTGGCGCCGAAAGAAACTCTTACAAACATCATTTACGTGACCTTATCTTGTGTCAGTGGCGTAGCGAGGTCGGGTGTCACGTTGCCACCCCCCAGTAAGAAATATATATATATGTATATATATATATATATATATATATATATATATATATATATATATATATATATATATATATATATATATATATATATATATATATATAAAATTCCATGTACATTTGTATGTGTATATGTATTCAAATATTTTTCTCCTAGCTGTATTTAATTTTTACCTCTCCCCCACCCCATACACCGATTTTCATAGGTTATTACGATTCTTAACCAAACCGTTTTTCTCAGGCATATATATTGCAACGTTGAGTTGATGTAATTCCCTCCCCCCTCCCCCGTCACGCCCCCCACCCCCCCCCCCCCCCTGGATTGCTTTAAACTGTGCTCAGACAATACTAACGATATGTATCTATATTCGGTTATAAATTCAGCTGGATGTTGCACGTTTTCTTTATCATTAGCAGGTTTAGCTCATGGGGTCACCCCCTCCACTTGTCCATTTTGCTCTTAAAAGACTATTTAATTCACTCTAATTGATCATTTAATTAAGCGGAATTATCATTCTTCTGTATATATTTTGCTATTTTTTTGCCTTGGTGTCACCCTCCCCATATATAGTGTCACCCGGTGCGGTCCGCCCCCCCCCCAACCAGAGTTTCTTCCAGGTATCTCTTCGGGGGGGGGGGGGGGGGTCGAAGCCCCCCCGAATCCTTTTAACCGGCCCCCCCCCCGAACGAAATGAAATTTATTTAACTTATATAGAAAATAAATACTTTTAACAGTGTCCGCCCCGTCCCCCCCCCCCCAAAGAAAGTCGCCCCCCCCCCCCCGAAAATTTCAAGTGCCCCCCCCCCCCCCCCCCCGCGGAGAAAATAGTCTGGAAGAAACACTGCCACTAACTCTTGCTACGCCTCTGTCTTGTGTAAAACATAAAAAAGATATAATCCGTACTTGTTTATCCTAATCTCAAACGGGTAGAATCTTTTTGTATACACAAAAATATAGTTTTTAAACAACAAAAAATTACATGTTTGCGTAGAAGCTTAACAGTAGCATACAAAAAGTTTAATTTTAGATTCATCTTGATCTTCTACGGGCCATTTAACAACATGGATGTTCCGTACCCGCATGTATTTGCTTAAAGGATTGAAGTCTTATTCTAGAGATAATCACAGCCTTGACAATGTACTGAACATAGTTCACTTGTATGAGGGTGAAGCGACGGCGACGGCATAAGCGAAGCAATAGCAGATTAGAAGGTGCTATATAGAGATATACATATACACACACTCTTACTCGTATACGTATGCTTGGTTTTTTTTATCGCTTGTATACTGGATGATATCTTTGATTAGGTTATGAATATATATATATATATATATATATATATATATATATATATATATATATATATATATATATATATATATATATATATATATATATATATATACTTTTACAAAACCTCTAAAATCTCATTCTCACACTTTGCTACATCAAATATGCCACGTATCACTACTTAACAACGCCATTACATCACCGCATACTTTTTCAATATGCTCTGTGGAGTATTTAGGTGCTTATCTCTAGGATGAGACTCCAATTCTATTTGCAAATACACGAGGGCATCAATGAGTCATTTCAGTTCTTAAATTGCCAGTGGCAGATCGATGAAGCGACCCTAAAATTGAATTTGTCTGAAATTTTAAAGCTTCCGCACTGGAACTTACAGGTTAAGAAGCTCGAATGTCCGTTAAAAACAATATATCATATGGGTGGGGATTTGTAAAGAAAACAATAAAACAGATTATCGCTAGCAATACCATCAGATTCATAAACTTTTTGTTTTAAACAAATTACTGTCAGGATAATCCTTCAATAGGGGTTTGCGAAATCCGATAAAATTGGTGCAAAGGCGTAACGGATCATTTCGGCCCTTGTATAGAGCTGTAAAACTGTCATCCAATTTTTTATCTTTTATATTATTTATTTGTATTTTATAGTCTTGTCTAGATGGTTCCAACTAAGACATTCATATTTAATCTTGTTATCATTTTGAAATAATTTTTCGCCCCATTCACTTTTTAATAACTCCATATCGGCTACGCCATTGTCTGCGACTTTTATTTTTATATTAAAAAAAAATTTTTTTTGGAATCACAGAAACACACATGACCCCCGCACCACATAAATTTGTACAACAATACTATAAAACTTGGCTCATGTAGCTATTAGGATACATCCTCTCGGCTGTTCCTGAAGAGATTCGACCAACATGTTGCTGTTCATCGCTCTGTTGCTTCACGTCTTCTCCGGCGTTGGTAAGATCTACATGTTTTAATGTATTAGTGCCTTGTCCGGCATTCCTAAGTTCCCAAACTGGACAAATTTCCCAACGCCACAAGCAAGTGTCCGTTCAGGAAACTACCTTGGGACACCCGGCGTTCTTGCAAGTATCGGGAAAACCTCCTGTTCCTCTGCTAGACACGTAGGTTTACAACAGACTTTCACTTCCCCCCTCCCAATAGGCAAAGCAAGCATCACAGTATAGTTCTGTTCTTAGACAACCTAAGGTCTTGAGTGCATGTTTCATTATTGGAGGGGTTGAATGTGGGGGGAGTATGTAATTATCTTAAGCACGTTGCCAGCAGCCAGAAACAGACATTTGTTTCCTTCCCTCGGTTGTAGTACACAGCTTGGAAATGGGGAGGGTTAGAGAAGGCCACAACCTACAGTACAGAGCCCGATTACTTTACTCGTAACTGCCCGTTAGAAAGCGCGAGTTTTACTCCTAAGTAAACACCGGCCACCGACATCAGAAAAATGGCATTTTTCTGAACATGCTTGTTTAATATTTTAATCTCTTTTCATTTCTTTCAAGTCTATACATTTTTCAAGCGACAACGAATGTTAATTTTTCGTCATGTGTCATTTTAACAGTGATTTCTATAATGTCTATATTCTTCCACAGCTTCTAGTAATGATTCTGGAGAGCCATCTATCTGTTCAATTTTGAATTATTCGGGAGCTCACAATGGAAGCAAGTATTTTCTCTCCAACTTTTACTACATGTACATACAACAAGCTCTAGATGTATGTTCATCATGCGGCATGTACCTGGTAGAGGTCAATGACGAAAGTGAGTTCAGGTTTGTGCAAAAAATTGCCAGGGATTCCAAAACCGAAAGTCTTCTGCTTTCTGGTTCTGACAAGATTAAAGAAGGGAAATGGGTCTTCCCAAACAATGAACCGGTCAATTTTAAAGAGTGGACAAACGGTGCCCCAGACGACGCTGGCACTGTAGAAGATTATTTAGCCATTAATCGGCCTAACGGCTATAGAATGAATGACGTGAAAGATGAACCAGCTTATATTTACAGGTTCCTTTGTGAAAGAGCGATTAACTCTGAAGATGTGCTTGACCAGGTTAAATAAAATTGTAACTTTTTGTCAATCAACAGAGATTTAAATTAAACATTGATTTTAAAGTTTTCTGGACGTTTTTTTATGTTATTATTAGTCCCGATGAACTTTTTTGTTGTGTGTTTGTCTTGTTTTTGTATTTTTTGTGTGTTAATTTTTTTTGCTTTGATGTTTGTTGATATTTTGTCAGTGTGTTTGTTGTTGCTTTGCTGGTGAGTTTACAAAACTTTTTTATTTCAAGTCTTTTTATAAGCTTTATGTTATTAAAGAAAGATTGCAAACAAGATTTGAAGCACCAATACCAAACCGATTATTTTTCAAACTTGAAAATGAGTGAGTGCGTGATGGCGTGGTGGCTTAGTATTAGCTTCCGGAGACTACATGCATCATTTTCATACCAATATGAAAACAATATGCAATCCAGAATTAGCTGATAGCAAAGACCGTGCTGATATTTAAACCGCAGCTCCCAAAGAAGTTAGATTTGAATCCGGTCTTAGTAAACTACTTGAAAACATTAGAGCGTAGAACAGTTTCATTTCCTTTCTTCATTATTCATTACATAAAACACATTTCAAAATCCTGATTCTAATTTCAACTCTAGACCTATATATTACCTTAGTCCTAATCAAAAGACAAAGACGAAAAACCCAGGAAATCACCTCACCCTAAAATTAACCCAAAACCAAAAACAACACTACACATTCATTTAAGCCTAACCCTGATCCTAACAATAGTCCTAGCCCTAGCCTTTACCCTAGCCCTAGTCCTAGTCCTAGCGCTAGTCCTAGCCCTTGCCCTATACATATATATATATATATATATATATATATATATATATATATATATATATATATATATATATATTACAGATAGATTTTGTATTTAAACAAAAAGCTTTTTAATTAATCGTGGGATCTTACATTTTAGAAGACACTACTTTCTTGTAGGTTAAGAAAATTTAAATGACTAGTTATGTTTGCAGCAGAGGCCAATTTCTATACTTTTCATCAGACACTGGGGTCGGCGTGGTCGAGTCGGTAAAGCTCATGGTTGCTAAACCGAAAAGTCTCGAGTTCGAACCCCCGGGTAGATGCGGCTCGTTAGCTGGGGACAGCCACTCTTCTAGGAGAGACAACTCCAAAATTAAACAACTGCTGCCTTGTAATTTGTTCTTGGTTGGACAAAGGCTATGGAAGCAAATCCAAAAAGGAAAAGCAGGCTGAAATCGGAGTCAATGGCCTCAATGGCGCATAACCAGTTGACACGTAACGCTTAATTGTGTTGGAGGCGTGGTCGAGTCGGCAAAAAGCTCATGGTTGATAAATTCGAACAAAGTCTCGAGTTAAAACACACTGGCAGATAAATCTCGATCACCTTCAACACTAATAATTAAGAACGAAGAAGAAGATCAGACATTAATGGCAGTGGCTTGCGTTATTTTACAGGAAGTAACCTATTTCCTTTCGTAACTTAAATACTCTGCTCAGAACTTTCTCACAACTTAGTCATCTTACTGGTAAATCTTGCGCTTCTGTGTTTGTAACTTTCAACATGTCTCTTAACTATATACCAGGGTTGGAACTACAGGACGGCCTGAGGTGTTCTAAAAACCATTTTTTCTTTATGTCGCATTTCATATAGAATGCTATACAACCACAAGCTGAGTAATACTCACAATAAAACCGCAGCAGGAATTCATAAAACTCCATCTTACCGTAGACTAAATCTTACATTAGTCAGGGCGTCCAGGCCTATGCGCGCATTAGCCGGCCAATGTACAAAAAAGTCCTTTCAGGTAAAAGTTCTTTGTACATTACCCACGAGAAGCGGCCAACTCGCACAAAGGCCAGTCAATGCACGCATGGATCGCACTTCGGGCTTTATTTGTAACACACACACACACACACACACACACACACACACACATATATATATATATATATATATATATATATATATATATATATATATATATATATATATATATATAATACTAAAACTCAAGTTTGTTTGCATGTTTGAATATTTTTTTTTTTTTTTTTTTTTTTTTTTTGTTTGTCTGATTGAATACTGGAGAGAATCGGCGCTAGGTCGAGAGCTGTAAAATAGTATGTAGGTAGAGAACAAATTTTCTTTTCAGACAGACTGTTAATCACAAATTTATTTAAAGACGTTAATTAATTTATTAATTTATTCAATGTCTGATGTGGCAAATATGCTCTAGCGAGTCATACCGCACATAAATAGTTATAGCCGCAGCTACAGAATGACCTGTTTAGTCTAGGGTTTGTCTCGTTGGACAAGAGGTCCCTTAATAATTAGTGTTGTGCGTTTATTAATGTTGTGTTATTATTATTGACGGACTGCCGATATTGGGTGCAGTGCAAAGGTTTAAAATTATAACTAAGTAATTAACTCAGTTTCACAATCATTTAACTTTTAATACATGAATTATTGGCATAGGAATAATGATACAACTTAGAGTAGCCTGGAATGGGCGACTGGTCTTCAGGGCGGCGTGGTCAAACTTGCTCACACAGACCTCTGTACTGTATAAGTTGTTTTAGCCCCAAGCTGGCCGGCTGTAAAATACATGTGACAAACTTCCTAACATCTGTGTGATATACACATTCATTCAGACGCATACAAGTTTACAATTGTTACAAAGATAATACATTTACATAAGGCCTACAATAAACATTACTAGAAAATATGCTTTTCATTCATACATTGTTTTATACTCATTCCATACTTATTAATTAATATTATAACAGTACAGCTAATAAAAGTAAGAGTAAATTACCTTCCAATGAGGCCACACAATCCTCTACACACGTTGCCAAACGTACGTTTAATTTCTCCGAGGAGAACAAGTGCCGTAGCACCAAAATAAGTATGATATGTTATGTTGGCTAGTGCCTTAGCACCAAAAACAAACGTGTACCTCCGAAGAGGGGAGAAGGTAGAGTGACCGGACTGTAGCGTCCCTACCCTACAGGTCACATGACTCAGGCCCCGCCCCCATGACCGCCCGGTCAGCCTTACGATACCGCTGGACTCAGGTCCAGGTGTGTACCGTTACCTGTGGGGTAGCAAGAAGGGGGGAGAGGTGGAGACACCATGATAGATATTTATAATCTATCATAACATCTGAGATAATTTGTCCTGAGATCATTTGTCATGGAACCGTTTCTAAGCATATGAAGGGATAGCGTGGTCAGAGACATGCTCGGCTGGAATCGTTTTCTTAAACGATAAAAACATGTTGTCTGAGACTTGGTGGGACACTGGGCAGGTGAAGTAGAGTTGAGTAGGTCACCTGTGACGTCAGTATATGAAGGTCCGATGTTTTCGGTGTTTTTAAAAGATAAAAAAACATCTTTTTGAATGTGGGGTCTTTTTTTGTGAAGATAAGTGACAGACGTTATGTTTTATATGGATGACCCCCGAAACCCACAGTTATCCAAGGGATGACGGGTAGTCTAGTATACTACTAAAACTCTAGTTTACATGTTTAATAACTCATTTTTTTTTTTTTTTTGTTTGTCTGATTTGTTATTGGGGAGAATCTTCATTATGTGTAGAGCTGTAAAAATAGGATTTTAGGTGGAGAACATTGTCCTTTCTTAAACACACTGTTAATTACAAACTAATTTAAAGACGTTTTTTTTAAATTATTGATATATTCATTGGTAGATTAACCACATTAATTATAAAAGTTTAGAACAATAATTTTACTAATAGTAAATAAGATTTATTTTCTTAATACAACAACGTTTTCAATAATTTTTTCTTAGGGCCTAGATGTGAATTATAAAGTTGCCTATAGAACTTGGCGGGATATATATATATATATTATATTCCATATACACTTGTATGTGTATTCGTATTTTTCTTCTAGATGTATTTAATTTTTACTCCAACCCCCCCCCCCCCCACCACATACACGGATTTTCATAGGTTATTACGATTCTCAACCAAACCGTTTTTCTCAGGCATATATATTGCAACGTTGAGTTGATGTAACTCCCCCCCCCCCCGGGTCACCCCTCTCCCCGGTTATTGCTTTAAACTGTGCTCAGTTAATACTAACGATTTGTATCTATATTCGGTTATAAATTCAGCTGGATGTTGCACGTTTTCTTTATAATTAGCATGTTTAGGTCATGGTGTCACCCACCTCCACTTGTCCACTTTTAAAAGACTATTTAATTCACTCTAAGTAATCATTTAATTAAGTGATATCATTTTTCAGTATATATTTCGCTATGTTTTTTTTGTCACCCGGTGCGGTTCGCACCCCCTCCCCCCCCAATCTCTTGCTACGCCTCTGTCTTGTGTAAAACATAAGATTATAATAGATATTATAATATATATAACCCGTACTTGTTTATCCTAATCTCAAACGGGTAGAAGCTTTAAAGTATCAAACAAAAAGTTTAATTTTAGCTTCTGCGGGCAATTTAATAACAGAGATGTTCCGTACCCGCATGTATTTGCTTAAAGGATTGAAGTCTTATTCTAGAGATAATCGCAGCTTTGACAATGTACTGAACATAGTTCACTTGTATGAGGGTGAAGCGATGGCGACGGCATAAGCGAAGCAATAGCAGATTAGAAGGTGCTATATAGAAATATCAAATTACATACACTCTTACTCGTATAAGCACGCTTGTTTATTTATCGTTTGTATACTGGATATCTTTGATTAGGTTATATATATATATATATATATATATATATATATATATATATATATATATATATATATATATATATATATATATACTTGTAATCGCAGTGAGAACTAGTTGCTTATCGAAGCTAAAACTAAAAAGTAAAATTGTGGTCATTATCTAGGTTTGCATATTATTCAAACGCTTTTTATGCATTTTTACGTTTAAATAAGCTTTATTTGCCTGTAATACACATTCAGTGTTGGTCATCACATTCACGTAGTGTATGACTCAGATTACATAATACAATATGCCTTTGTACTAGTTTATGTGTTGATACCATATTGTCACTTCGTGCTGTATATTCTTGAATCGAAAATAAA